TGTCGGCGATCAAAGAGGGGGGCATTGGGATTTTCGGTTTTGCGGTTTTGGCTATTTTTTAAGATCAGTTTTTCGGTTTTTGTTGCAAAAGACTTCGGTTTTTCGGTTTTGGTGGTCATTGCAGTTTGCGGATTTTTCGTTTTTTAGCATCTGGTTTTCGGTTTTCGTGAAAAATACTAGCGGTTTTTCGGTTTTGGTACCCGATGTGGTTTTTGGTTTTTCCTGTTTTGTCCTATTTTGGGTTCCGGTTTCTGTTCGATTTGAGCAGCACTTCGCGGGTCGAATAGCCGCGAAACGCAAAAGTTATTTAGAGGAATGCGTGACAAAATAAATGTCATGGTAGGGGATCAAGCATCTCCCTTGACGCCCGGCGCGACTTTGACCTCGCCGGGTATGGTAGGCGGAATGGTGCAAAATTCAACGAATCAAAATCACTACCAACATCAACAACCAATCTGCAGTTCAACATTTTTTTTCTACATCAACAATAAAATCCGTCCAACTTCAACGATTAATATAATAATCAACATTCGAAATATGCCTAATTCAACAACTAGAGAAAATTAACATCAACAAAAATTCTTCTTTTCTTCAACGACGATTTACCACACAACCAACATCGGACATCGACTTCAACAACAAAACACGTTCAACAATTTGGGGTTTTGTTTGCGGTTTTGCGGTTTTGGATGATTTTTTTCTTCGGTTTTGCGGTTTCTAATATACCCCAATGCCCCCCTCATCAAAGCGCTGCTGATCTCTTTGTACTTTTCTTTGGAGGTTCACGTTCTGGAGAAGTTATGATAGTATCTGTACCTTTCGCATTCCAAGTTCGCTCATTGCAGGGGCTTGTTAAATTAGAAACTGAACTAGCAAGACGAACGGCCCGTCGCGCACAAGTTAAGCAGCTTAAATCGGAAAAGCTTTCTCCTTGCTCAAGAGGAAATCTTGAGGATTCAAGAGTCATTATCAGAGAAAACCGGGCGGTGCCAAAAGATTGGGGTCAGCCGATTTCCTTTATTTTTTCAGCATTTAAAACCAAGCTGATAAGATTAACTTTGGTGACATTAAGAAGATTTCCCGGCGTTTCACTCCCGAGATTAACCACCCCCCTAGTTTTTGGCCAAGGGAAGCCCTAAAAACCAGCAAAAACAATAGCAATTCCTCGGGTCTAAAACATTTATTCCTTAAGGAATTACTGCACAGATTTTTTTCTGAAGCTAAATCACCTAATAATAAACGTTTTGGGTGCTTAAAATCATATTTTTAGTTTAACAGTAATTTTGGCCAAGGTTATAAATCCGGGTATGTTGCGTGACTGTTACAGGACAACGAATTTCGGGGATTTTCGGCTGTTTATTTTTTATTTAATTACAGATTTGAACAAAACAAAAGTTTATTGATCGGCACAAGAAACTCTTTTCACGCGAATTTTGTTGGAAAATGTCAAAGATCGCTCTTACGGCTAACTGCTCGCTGAAGCTTAAATAGCGGAAATACTGCATTATAAAGGTACTAATCCATTTTAAATGAGTATTTTATATTCCACTTAGGTTTGAATAGAGGGAAAATAACTATAAAATACTATTGCTTTAACGTAGGGGTTATACAAGACTGCCATCATGCACGCAAAGGTCTCAATTACTTGGTGCTGCGATGAATCATGATTATTGTCTGGCCTATGCGAGTTAGCCAACAGGACGATGTATGTGCGGTCCTATCTTGTGATAAAATCATCACGACTTTTGAACCACATGCAACAGAAATTCTCAAAGTGTTTGCTTTGTATGCAAAGTTTGTTACATACCCTGCGAGGAGATGCTACATTTTCGCTGTGTGACCTGTCGTGCGAAAAGTAGCCTCTGCCGACAACCGTTCAAATCCGTCCAGAAATCTGGACGAATAAATTTAAAAAACGGGTTTTTTCCTTTTCTTGACCGGTTTCGAGCATTGCGTGAGTCTTGCTTAGCAGATCAGAGTTGTCGCAATTTTTTTTTATTCCCATGAATAAAATAAACAGACGTGACAATTAATTTTGCTTGCGAACGGCGTGACCAATTTCGCGCATGCACGATAGAAAATTGAACGGTTGTCGGCAGAGAGTTTGACTAATAGTCGCGGGTCGCGGGTCGCGGGTCCAAAGTCGCGGTCGCGGGTCCAATGTCGCGGTCGCGGGTCCAATGTCGCGGTCGCGGGTCCAAAGTCGCGGTCGCGAGTCCAAAGTCGCGGTCGCGGGTCCAATGTCGCGGCAGGGGAAAATGATTTGGAGTTCGAGGTAACGGAGTGAAAACGAGTGATATGAAAAAAATATAAAGGGAAAAAAATCGTTTTTATGCATGATACTCTACGTTAACCAATTTACAGGTTACGGATGTTAGAGTCAACAAAATAATGTCTGAAGAAAAGACCTAAAAGAAAAAGCTGGCCGACTTTTGTGTTCACCGCAACTTCATTTTGTTTTCTTTCTATCGGGCCCAGTTATATATAAATTCAGCTTTGAATGTACTTATGCGTAACGGTTTCTGATAAAAAATGTTACCATGAGTTACCATTGTTTTCTTCTTGTCTATGAATTGCTCACAAATGCTTAGGGGTGAAAAATGTGCGATACACTTCATAGACTATAAATTATAAACGTTACAACAACTTATAAAAACCTTTTTTAAAAAAGGCTAACTCGGGCTCGAAAAGCTACGAGTCTGTCGGTAGAAGAAACGAGAACTGTTTCAATTTTAACAAATGTTTTCGGCAAAAATAAAGAAAACGCTTGTTGAGAAACTTCCTGGTCGCAAACTCCCAAAATAAACTCTTTGCACAAGTAACTGGAAAGAGGAGGAGAGACGTTGGGCTTGAAGTGCCAGTAAAGTACATTCAAGCGGGTATTCAAGGCATGAATTTAATATAGAAACAAGTAATAATCCACAGCAATATGGGATAAAGCTCGAGCTTTATCCTCTCTTGTCCACAGAAAGGAGTTTGTTCCCACTAACGATTGAAATCCGGAATCCAAGTTCTACCAAGAGAGAATAGATCATAGTCTCTTGGTTCTACTGAGACTTGAATCCAGTACCTGGAATCTGGAATTACTTACCTAATCTATTGTCTTTTCTTAGCTCTGGTGGAGTTGATAACTTACCGTTTTCAGTGTCTGGTTTACTTTCTTTTTCAGCTTCATGATATCGGGCGTTATTATTTCCTTACACACTTAGGGCCTCTTCATATGAGCCCGGTTGACCGGGCTGGCCCGGTTTCCGAGATCTCGCCTCACCTCTAAATCCTTTGTAAAATTTTCGATGTGTTCATATGAGAGGGCGGGCTGGCTCGGTTCCCGAGATCTCGGTTTTTCCAACCGAGATCTCGGTAAGCGGGCTGGAAATTTTGCCATATGAACACTTCATCCCGGTTACCGGGATGAACGGCGGGATGAATTCTGGCGGTCCGGATGGCATCGTCTTGCATTGCCTGCTGTATTTTCCACATCATAAGCATCCCATTTAACTGCAGTGATACAGCTTTAAGAGTTACCGATGCTAAGTTAAAATTTTTGTGTTTCGCTATGTTTGCTTTGTTTCCTAAATTTGGCGCCAGAACTCGTACCCAGGATCTTTGACCTTTTCTCATCTCGGAAACCGGGCTGAAATTTCTCATATGAACCCAAAGCAAAATTCATCCCGGTAACCGAGCCAGCCCGGTCAACCGGGCTCATATGAAGAGGCCCTTACTCACTTAATTACGATGCATGTTTTCAAGATTTGACTGAGACGCACATTGAATGGCTTCCTATTGTCAGGTTGTCCTGGTTGCCATTCAGGTGAAGAGAACAAGAAGTTGTATTGAACACTCTGGGTTGCCGTCTCAGTGGTAAAAATAAAAGCATTAAGCGAAAATCTTGCTTCGAGAAACAGACTCCTTTCTGTGGATTATTACTTGTTTCCATATTAAATTCATGTCTTGAATACCGCTTGAATGAAGTTTCATGCGCCTATTTACATTTTCTTTCAGTTTTGCCGAAAACATTTGTTAAATATAAGAGTTCTCGTTTCTTCTACCGACAGACTCGTAGCTTTTTGAGCCCGAGTTCGCTTTTTTTAAGAAAAGGCTTTAAGTTGTTGTAACGTTTATAATCTGTAGTCTGTGAAGTGTATCGCATATTTTTCAGTAAATGAACTCCTAAGCATTTGTGAGCAATTCATAGACAAGAAAAAAGTAATGGTAACTTATGGTAACTTTTTTATCAGATACTGTTATGCATAAGTATATTCAAAGCTTAATTTACACATAACTGGGCCCGATAGAGAGAAAACAAAATGAACTTGCGGTGAACACAAAAGTCGGCCAGCTTTTTCTTTTAGGTCTTTTCTTCAGACATTATTTTGTTGACTCTAACATCCGTAACCTATAAATTGGTTAACGTAGAGTATCATGCATAAAAACGATTTTTTCCCTTTATATTTTTTTCATATCACTCGTTTTCAGTCCGTTACCTCGAACTCCAAATCATTTTCCCCTGCCGCGACATTGGACCCGCGACCGCGACTTTGGACTCGCGACCGCGACATTGGACCCGCGACCGCGACTTTGGACCCGCGACCGCGACATTGGACCCGCGACCCGCGACCCGCGACTATTAGTCAAACTCGTCGGCAGAGGCTACTTTTCGCACGACAGCTCCCACAGCAATAATCACAGGAAAAAATAACGGATTCCCATTTTTGGGTATTTAAAGAATACCCACAAAAATCCCAAATTTGGAAGAGTGAGACAAGTCCCAATCTGGGAACTTGGTTGGGAATTCCCTGGTTGGGACTTGTCTCACTTTGCCAAATTTGGGATTTTTATGGGTATTCTTTAAATACCCAAAAATATCCAAAAATGGGAATCCGTTATTTTTTCCTGTGAATGTAGCCTCTGCTCGCAGGGTATTTGTTACATCGATCACTACTGACAAAACCCAACAATGTATTTTATAAAATGCGAAAGAAGAATACGTAGTGCAAAATTCAGTTATTTCCGACATGAGCACAACTTAGCGTAGGCATGAGTGGTTCAGTAAAAGTTCGTTTTCTTGAGTTGCTACCATTTGTTTGCAGACTTAATGCTCTGCATACTTCTCTCAACTGTGCTAACTTCAGCGAACTTTGCTTTCCAGCACGCGAAAGTTCACAAACGTTTACTGCTTCTATTTTAATAGGGTGACCGATAGCCTGCGCGCAGACCCTTTAAACCTTGTTTATCCACACTATATGCGATACGTGGGCCGGCTGCACCGCAGGCTAGGTGACCGATAGTTTGTTCAATGTCTCTGTAAACCTCCTGGCGTATGGCTTGAATGTGGTCTTCTGATTCAAGGGCTGTGAGGTCTTCGTCTGTTACTCGTTGTTCCTCCTCCTGGCGCTCTATTTCATCAGCTTGTCTGTGGCGCTGCAACGCTGACATCCTTGCGAAAAAGTTACTAGTTTGTTGAGCGGTTCTCCATTCGTCTGGTTTGAATTGCTATCTCTAATACTCTTCATCTCTCTAGCCACGTGAATTGGATCAGCCTTTTGCCCTCCCGCTACTCCTTGGTTAAATTTCTGAACAAGAAAGGCTTTTACTTTCTCTTCCATCCTGTTGGTCCGCTTAGTTGATTTAAGCGCCCACCCTTTATTACGGCGTTCTCTAGCACTGGAAGGCTCGGCTTCTTCAAATGCAATTCGCTGTCTATCTCCGCTAGCCACATGCATCTCTCCGACTCGGTCAGCCCACTTCTTTTGTGCCGCATCGTACACAGACTCACAATCTAGATCTGACGCACGTACATGCTTCCCTGCGTCCATGTGAGCTTCCGCTTCCTCTCGAGTCTTGAACGTTAGCACCCGTGTACTTTCACTGCATGAGAATATATCTCCTCGTGGACTGGAAGCGTGGCTAACTGAGCCAAGATTGTTGCTACGTGGACCCCACTCCTTTAGGACTTTCAACCCAGTTTCTTCCTGTGGTACAACTTCAAGCTGACTGTATGATAAGAATCTGCCGGGTCCAACGCTGAATGCATATTCCGTTTCCCTAAAACGAAAAGCTGTTAAGGAGGCTGATACCTGGTATCTTGTTGGCGGTGATTTCTCTATTAGTGTCCACTTTGACAACTGCCGCCCTGACTCCTTTTACTCCTCCATGCGACTCTAGTGCTGTCTTCATGTCTTCCGCAGTGATGACATTGTGTTTTTCATTGACCCATCGTCGTATGTGTGCCTTCATAGGAGCGGTCTTTCGGTCACAGATGTCTTTTCCGGACTGTGGCTCTGAAAAGTCGTAACGTAGAATTGTCATGCTGGTTCGTTGCCCAATGAACGGAAGACTGAGCAAAAGAGATCCACTATGGTAGCAACCTGCGTTATCGGATCTCAGGAAAACATTTTCAATCTCCGGTGATTCTTTCTTGGTGGTATTTAAAAGATGCTCTATTATAGAGGCTACAGCAAAGCTGTTCTGCGTGCAGTTATCGAACAGATGGACAAAACGTTCCACTTGGAATTTTTCAGTATGCTTAGTGATCACAGCACTCACATGCCAGCTTCGTCCTCGTTTTCCGAAGAAATCACTCATTCGTTCCCGATAACGTTGTGGGAGGTATTTCATGGCCCAATCCATAACGATTAAACATGAAGCTGAATCAACATGTACAAGAGCATATTGCTTTCCTTCTTCTTGATTTAGTGTGCGACACAAATGCGCCTTCCAGTCCTGGATAGATGCCAAACAGAGTTTGTAGTCGTGGCTTAACCGCCATCTGTGCTCCTCCGGCATCTCAACACGGTTGATCTCGGATTTAATTTCCTTCAAAACTGTCTCTAATGATTCGCATTGCATGCTCGCAGTCAGTTTCATGCTCGTGCTGACATATGCTTTGCAGGTTGGAGTCACTTGTGTCACCTAGGGCATGTGCAGTGCAGTGATCAGCACAAGTTTCTTCTCTACCAACATGGGACTTAAACTCAGTCTTAAGGTATCCTTTGCCTCCTTGATTTTTTGTTCTGCATCCTTTACCCAGGTAGCCTCCGATCCATGGTCTCCAAGCGTCTTAAGCACGTCAGTGACATTGTCTATGGCCTCCGTCCCTTCTGCTGTGGTGTTGTCGAGTCGCTACAAAGATTTTTGCATTGAGGCACCACACACCTCTATTATTCTGTAGAGTGAACGCTGTCCTGCTGGTTCAAAATTCTGCTCTTTGCAGGAAACTGAGTATTGCTCAATTAATTCTTTGACGGTATCATAGTCCTTATAACTGCCGGAATGATAATGCTTCCTCCCGTGTCGAGCTTAAGCACGTTTGTGCCAAATGCTTTGTCCTGCAGCATCTCAGGTCTTGCGATGTAATCGATAAAATGATCAATTTGAACGGGTGAGATTCGGGAACGGAAAATTGGCTCTTGCGGAACAGGCAGACCTTCACCAACTTTGGTAGCATGCTGACGAGCTTCATCTATTCGCCATTTAGAAAGTGTTGGTATCATGTTCATCAACTGGGACCTGCTAAAATCATTGGCAAAGAGAGAGAGAGTATCTGTCGTTTTCTTTGGCATTACTCGGCATGGTTGTATGACGTGATCAGAACGTCGATTAGCCCAGATGTAGGATCAAAACTTCTACGCCTAGTGGCACCAGCACAATCCTTATTTACTAATCTTTCCTGTCGAAGAGTGGTCCATAATTCCTCTTCCTTTCCAGGGCTAAGGACCGAAAGTGCTGTGCAGATGCTTTCTTTGGCCTTTCGCAGATAGTGCTTTTGCTGTGTTGTCGATATATCATCCTAAGACGTATTCAAAGTTGACACAATGGGTGAAATTCTTCCTCCAGATAAACTGCCAATGGTATTGTTCAGTAGCTGCCTTCTCTGTTGCTGTTCCTCTACTTCGTCGGACCAGATAATGACTTCTTCTTCTGGGATACTTTGTTGGGATGATTGTGATGATGATGAAACCATCTCTTGTTCTGCATTAGATGTTACCAGAGCGCCCTGATCTTCATTCTGCTGTGGCAGTTCAAATACATCTTCATCACCAGCCACTTGAGACTGTCAGTGCAATAAAAGGGATATTAACTACATTTCCATAATTTTTCTGTTACGTTGTTACCGAGAATGGAGCCACAGAAAAGGGAGTTACAGGACTCCTTAACCAGTAAAAACCAC